CTGGTAGCACCACCCTGGCCTCTGGTGATGCCGGCACCTCCCTGGTCTCCAGTGTCGCCGGTACCGGCCTGGAGGACTCCCATCCTGCCAACACCACCCTGGTCACCTCCACTTTACCTGTCACTCTCCCAACTCCAGGGCGCCCACCCTACCTACGGATCGGCCAGGTTCTATGTTCTCCCTGACTCTCCCCATGTCACTCACACACAGCCTGCACATTGACCTAATTTCCTGATCACTCATACCTACTGCTCATCCCGTTCACTCACCAGCACCTCTATTTAAGCACACACCTCGTCTCTCCTCTTTGTCTGGTTTCGTTCATTCAAAGTGGACTGCTACCTTGAACTCAATCGATTATCTCCAGCGTTTGTCTCCAGCGATCCCCACCAGTGTGTCTTCCCTTCCTTGTCTGAACTGAATTGTTTGAAAACATTACCTGGATACCTAACTGCTCGACGAGGTGTGTGCTCAATCCCCTTCAGCTCCTCCATCCACGATCTCCTGCATCTGCGAACAAGGAAAGTCTGATTAACATTCTCATCGTCATATCTGTCAATTAACACTTGTTTGCATTGTCAGTCCCTTATGAAAGTGTAGTAACCATTTTTTTGACGTATTGATTACCATTTGTATAACTACAGTTTTATTACAAATACCATGGTTAAACTATGGTTAGTGTAGCAAAACCATGGTTAATTTTTGGTTATCATGGTTTAACTATATATTTTTTTTAGTAAAATCATGGTTAATTTTCATAAGGGGTCTGTGTCTGTGTCCACATTCTATAACTAGATGATAGATAGATAGATAGATAGATAGATAGATAGATCTATCCCCCCCACCCCCCACAACTAGTTTTGACGTCCATCAGGGCCTTCTTTAGGGGGGTCAGAGCCCCCCCAACCCCTGCAATTCGCACCCTGGGTAGAGCTATTTTTATTGCATATATTCAAAACTGATGCATAGAAGATTTACTGATTGACAGTTACATTTATTTATCAAGATTCTCTGTGAGTGTAAGTGCATTTATGCCTTACACCCTTTCACCTGTATTGCTAGTATGTCTAGTTTGAAACCTGTCTCAGGTATGACTACTGTTTAATAAATGTCTGAATATGCCCTTTATATAGGCTACAGCATGAAGATTATTACTACTATAGGTCTGCTCCTGGTATCTGTCCACCTTGGAAGCTCCTTTCTGATTGGAGCCTTCAACATTAAATCCTTTGGGGATTCGAAAGCATCTAATGCCACCCTGCTTGACATCATTACCAAAGTGAGTGACACCCAAACCTATAAAATCCTTACACGCTCACATTTGGTAACTGTATTGTGTTGGTTAGGTAGTACACCGTTATGACATTGTACTCATCCAAGAAGTGAGAGACAGCGATCTCTCTGCAACTAAGAAACTGATGCAAAGTGTGAATGGGTAAGTTGTCTTAACTGGCTGTATGTTACTGTATTTAATTGTGTAAATAAATTAATAACAATTATTTTCATTACTAGAGGTTCCTCTCCATATGAATATCAGTACATTGTAAGTGAGCCCTTGGGTAGGAACACTTACAAAGAGAGATATCTCTTTATTTACAGGTAACATTTAGTTCACATATCATATAAGATTGTATGCATATATGTGGTTCATATCAAATGAATAATTACACTTTTATTCTCATCAGACGTCAGACAGTGGCCGTTGCCAACAGCTTCCAGTATGATGATGGATGTGAATCCTGTGGAACTGATACTTTCAATAGAGAACCCTTTGTTGTGATGTTCTCCTCTAATACAGGTGGAGGTCCAAGTTCATTGTGAGAATGTTAGCAGTAATACAGTTAAGGCACTGTTCAGCAAAAGCTTTTCATCCAAAACAATTTACGGTACACTAAATTCAGAGACAGTTCCCCTGAAATTAAGAGCGGTGCTACAGGCCACAATGGCAATGAAAAGGATGTGATTTTCATATTTAGGGTTGAATATACACTACCACTCAAAAGTCTGGGGTCAGTAAGACCTTTTTTTTCTCCCTGAAATAATACTTTCTTTTTTTTTCAGCAAGGATGCATTATTGATTTATATAAACTTATCAAGTCAAAGACTTTTAAATTGTTCAAAAGATTTCTATTTAAAATAAATCCTATTCCTTTCAACTTTCTACTCATGAAAGAAACCTTGAAAAAATGTATCACAGTTTCCACAAAAATATTAAACATCACAGGAGTAATGACTGCTGAGAATTCAGCTTCACCATCACAGGTATAAATTACATTTGAAAATAGTAAAATAGAAAAGTTATTCTAACACAATACTCTTTTTACTGTATTTATGATCAAATAAATGCAGCCTTGGTGAGCATAAGAGACTTCTTTCAAAAAAAAAATTTTTTAAGTCCTATAGACCCCAAACTTGAACAGTTGTGTACATTGTATTTATAATGCAATATAAATACAATGCCTGTATTTAGATGACCATTTATCAAGGATTTATCAGGGATTGAATTTCAATTATTAAAAGTAATTTACAGCTCACAGTGACACTAAACAACAATCTTATTGAGCGGATTCTTATTTTTGCTCAAAATACTGAGCACAAACAAATATATTTTCTATAGACTAGTAAAGACAAAAGTTGATTTAAAATAGAGAAATACTTCAAAGAAATTGTAATCGTTTAATTGACCTAACATATACGCTTCTCCTTATGCATATACTGCATGTAAAATTTTAATCTTAAAATCTTGATGCTGAATTGAAACAAATAAATGTTATGAATAAGCTAAGCTGTCAACTATTCGCATGCTAAAAAGATCCCATCCCATTTTGGTTTTAAAAGATTTTATTTACAAACAAAGTGACCCTCTAGTAACAAAAGAGTATAGTGGCACTCACATTGATAGCGGCGATTGTGACCTTGGTGGACCCGTAAAGCTTAAGCCACGCGTCCTGTACAGCCTTCCAGAATTCTGCGCAGTGCTCTGGGCTCTTTTTATACATTTCCAAGATATCTAGGCCTGCAGAAAACACCTTCGGCTGGGCCTTTAAACAAAAAAAGCACTGTCAATGAAATAGACTAAACTGGATTTCACTAAAGCAGATGTTTCTGATGACTTACGGATGTTATGATAACACCCCTGCAGCTTCTGTCCAGCTCAAGTTTTTCTAAATTAATAGCAAACTCAGTCAGAAAGTCAAGACTGAGACTGTTGACAGGAGGACTTTGGAACTGCATTATAGCAACACCTGTAATAAGAAAGTGGAAAAAAAGATTTTCTGGTAATGATTTTTTCGATAAATATGTAGTCGCAGAGTGTTGCAAACCCATTATTTATGCACATTATTTATGAATATTCTTACCATTACTACTGTCCAGGTCCACTTTAATTTTTGAGGATGACAAATATCTATTTTGAGATGCAGTGTATGGCAGAGCACAGATTCTCCCATGACTGCTGTTTCCAGACAACAGTGATACAAATCCTGCAAAAGAAATTGCTAATATTTTACAAATGTAAAACTAAAAGCCAGGATGTTAACCCAGTGCATTTATTAATTTGACTATTAATTACACTTCAGGAAATATGTACTGCAAGAGCACAGTGATGTGCTGTGCCTTTATTAAATGACATGGTGTTAACTTCTTACTTCTTACAACACATAACAAAAAAAAAAAGCATAATGTGTGTCATAATATGTTGATTTTCTGCTTTCTTTCTGCTTTGAAAACTACAGGATGGCGTAAACAACTCTTTTGTACCCTACTGACCTTTGTCCTATTTCCTCAATGAATGCATTACTGCAAACTTCTTTCGGAAAAAACATGGACACTGCAAAAGAGAAAAACAACAAAAGTTGCAGATAAGGCAACATGACACACCTACCAGATGGGCTGAATTTGGTACAGAGCCTTAATACTGATGACATCTCGCCAGCTGAAAGGATAATGCTAAATCGCTAAATGTAAACTTCACTGCTTAATACACTGGTTGCCAGATCTCGCTAGAAAAGCAGGCAAACTGTACTGGCAAAACATTCTCAAAATAAGTGACTTTTACCCAAAACAAGGCAACATCACATTTTCTGCAAATAAATTAGCTAAATGAATTTTTAATACGTTTATCGTTTAAAAAAATTATAAAATGCTTCACTGCGACTGTACACATTTATTAGCAAATTTCATGAGAAGACAAATCTAAAGGCGCTTTAAAAGGCGGACATGGCAACACTGTGACTTGCAGACAGCAACATCCTGTGGCTGGTGAGTACGTCAATCATTCAGAGAGCCAATCATCAATAGTGTACGTAATATAGTTGATTGTGATTTGGCAACTTACGTTCTGGGAAGGCGGTTCATGTTGTGGCAGATTCAAGTGAAGCGATAGGCTACAACAAAATGCATGTCAGTCTCTCTAGTGGTTTGTCTTATCATCCTTGAAACTTTTTTTATTTACATTTTGGTTTTGTTTACAGCAAACCAGAAATAAAGTTTTTCATTGCCAGCCATTACTGCTACGTGGTGTGTTTTGCATTTAATAAACAGCTACTAACGCTACTACATGAACTAAACAGCAACATTAGAAACAAGATATACAGATAAGGATAGGCCAAACTTTATTAAAAATGCAAGATGAAAGGTTTAACAACTCAGAAGCAATAGCATTTTTTTTTATTCAGTCAGCTGAAAAATGCCCTGATTAAATCTTACTTTCCTGCTTACTGTTGCCCCATTACATCACAAAGAAACCCCTAATTAACATGTTGTAAAAAGCAGCATCATGCAATACAGACCACAAGCAGACTAATGATGACATCCAATTATGAAGAACATTCAGTCACAATATGAATTTGAGAAAATATACATCATGTGATATATTTTGAAATATTGTAAGGATTTAATTTGATCAAATACATCTTATATTTTGAATATGGAATCACAGAGTTATCAAAAATGACAATTCACAAAAAAAGCAGGATTTAATTTGATCAAATACATCTTATATTTTGAATATGGAATCAGTTATCAAAAATGACAATTCACAAAAAAAGCTTTCAGCTAATCTTTTGCGTGCTTTCTCATATTTATGTCTTTCTGACTAGCTCAGTTAATGATTCAGCATTTGTCTCTCATAAAGGCATTACATAATGCGCATGCCAGTTAGACATTTCCCGTGGCATTTATTAACTTTTTTAAAGAAATTTTATTCTGTAGAAACAGTAAAACCCAATCATTTCCACAGAGTATTTTGAATATTCTCCAATATTATCTAATATTTTTGAATATGATAGTGTAGTAGGGAATTATTCAAGAGAAATCAAGATATTCTTGTGTCAGATAATAAAATCAGCGATGGAGATGGAAGTGTCAGGTAACAGTATCAGCAGGCATATAAACAATAAATGTATTTATTTTGGAATGTCAAAAAAAATCATAATCGGAGACAATCTAATATAAAAGCTAGATGGAAGACAGTTACAGACACCTGGACAGAGATAAACAGATCTTAAACTGTTTCAGGGAATGAAGAGGGTGTTTGATTATGGGCTCCACTGAATGTTTCCAGCTGAAAAGACCAGCGATATCACCAGCAAATGTTGCATTTTAGAAGCTGATGTTCCAGCAGGACTAACCAGCAAGAAAAGGGAACCAGAATTGTTTGCTGGTGAACAGCCAGACAACTTCATACTGGTTTAAGTTGATCTTTTCTACAGGGGTTTAATGCTCAGAAATACCTTTTTTTGACAAACAACACTTAGTACAAACCACGTCCTACACATGTATTTATCAGGTAACAGCAGGCTGATTACATCATCAATATTACAAGAAATTAGCCATTGCAGACACGATGGCTTCACATTCAAGCATGCACTGGTCTGGTCATGGGCTCTGTAAAGAACTCTAAATGCAATGCAAGAATACAGACATTGCAATATTTACATTTACAGTATACACTAAAACCTGAGTGTACAGGCATAAGGGACTTCATTAGTTGGTTACGCCGTTGTTATATCTATTACAAAGTACTAAGTTGCCTCTAATACCCTGCCAGTCACTGTATGTCCTCAACCGTTGATTACACCTAATATGTAGGAATATCTTCATCATTTTTTCATGTTTTTTTTTATACGACTAATTGTTATTTAATCACTTGCAAAGCCAGCTCCAGCTGCATATCTACCTAGCCTATGTCTCTGTTTTAAACATCTGTGATAAATTGGGTATGTTGCTATGCATCTGGGAGAGAGAGACAGAGGAAGAACCTCTTTACTCTGCACTGTCCCAGTCTTTTTTGATTTGCAGGTTCCACTCCCACGACAGATGGTCTGTCTTGTCGTCGTCTGTGAAGTAGGATTTGATGTGGTAGGTTCCCCGAACGATCATGCCCTTCGGAGCCTCCTCCACCGGGGTGATAAACTCATGCTCCTCGGCTCTCGGACCGTAGCTTCCTACCATGTACACTGCCTTGTCCACTACAGGTAAAGAAAAATCAATGAGTCAAATTCTTAAAAAAGAAATCAAAAGCTGATTGGTGGTTGCACCCAACAATAACCTGTCCAATGGTATTTTTTAAGTTGATTGTTAAAAGGATCAAGTAAAGCGTTTGACAGAATGACAAAGAAAAAGTAATTGGCAAATGGACAAAGAAATGTAACTAGCAATTTTTTTTAATGTTCAAAATTAAAAAGTTATTTGTATTTTTTTAAATTTAAATTGTATTGTTTTATTTAACTACATTTACAACAAACGTTTGAAATGTCTCTTATTTTTCAATTAAAAAAATAAATCAATAACAATGATTCACTAATTTATCATTTTATCATTTTAACTACATTTTAAAACATTATTAAACTATTTTAAATAAGTCCGTTTATTTTTCCATTTAAAGGATTAGTTCACTTCCAGAATAGAAATTTCCTGATCATTTAAATTACATGAATTTGCAGACGTGCGTCGTGGAGCTAGTGCAAGACGAGCATTTGTGGTTAGAAGTACAGTGGGTACGGAAAGTATTCAGACCCCCTTAAATTTTTCTCCCAAAACAAGGCAACATCACATTTTCTGCAAATAAATTAGCTAAATTAATTTTTAATACGTTTATCGTTTAAAACTGTACTGCGACCGTACACATTTATTAGCAAATTTCATGAGAAGACAAATCTAAAGGCGCTTTAAAAGGCGGACATGGCAACACTGTGACTTGCAGACAGCAACATCCTGTGGCTGGTGAGTACGTCAATCATTCAGAGAGCCAATCATCAATAGTGTACGTAATATAGTTGATTGTGATTTGGCAACTTACGTTCTGGGAAGGCGGTTCATGTTGTGGCAGATTCAAGTGAAGCGATAGGCTACAACAAAATGCATGTCAGTCTCTCTAGTGGTTTGTATTATCATCCTTGAAACTTTTTTTATTTACATTATTGATACAATGAACAACATCAATGATGATTTGTGGGCTATTCACATGATGCCAAATGCCAGACTATGTTCATTAGTGTCCTGTGCTCCACATCTCAACTTTAATACTAGTTTTAGAGGATTAGTCCGTATCTGCGACAGTGAGCGTTGAATCGTGGCGTGTGTGATCTCCTTACGACATGGTGATTAGCTCCACTTACAGTGGGGCAAGTAAGTATTTGATACACTGCCGATTTTTCAAGTTTTCCCACTTACAAAGAATGGAGAGATCTGTAATTTTCATCGTAGGTACACCTCAACTGTGAGAGACAGAATCAAAAAAAAATAATCCAGAAAATCACATTGTATGATTTTTAAATGATTAATTTCCATTTTATTGCATGAAATAAGTATTTGATCACCTACCAACCAGCAAGAATTCTGGCTCTCACAGACCTGTTAGTTTGTCTTTAAGAAGCCCTCCTATCCTCCACTCATTACCTGTATTAATTGCACCTGTTTGAACTCGTTACCTGTATAAAAGACACCTGTCCACACACTCAATCAATCAGACTCCAACCTCTCCACTATGGGCAAGACCAAAGAGCTGTCTAAGGACACCAGGGACAAAATTGTAGACCTGCACAAGACTGGGATGGGCTACAGGACAATAGGCAAACAGCTTGGTGAGAAGGCAACAACTGTTGGCGCAATTATTAGAAAATGGAAGAAATTCAAGATGACTGTCAATCTCCCTCGGACTGGGGCTCCATGCAAGATCTCGCCTCGTGGAGTATCAATGATCCTGAGAAAGGTGAGGGATCAGCCTAGAACTACACGGGAGGACCTGGTCAATGACCTGAAGAGAGCTGGGACCACAGTCTCAACGGTTACCATTAGTAACACACTACACCGTCATGGATTAAAATCCTGCAGCGCGCGCAAGGTCCCCCTGCTCAAGCCAGCACATGTCCAGGCCCGTCTGAAGTTTGCCAAAGACCATCTGGATGATCCAGAGGAGGCATGGGAGAAGGTCATGTGGTCAGATGAGACCAAAATAGAAGTTTTTGGTATAAACTCCACTCGCCGTGTTTGGAGGAAGAAGAAGGATGAGTACAATCCCAAGAACACCATCCCAACCGTGAAGCATGGGGGTGGAAACATCATGCTTTGGGGGTGCTTTTCTGCAAAGGGGACAGGACGACTGCACCGTATTGAGGGGAGGATGGATGGGGCCATGTATCGCGAGATTTTGGGCAACAACCTCCTGCCCTCATTAAGAGCATTGAAGATGGGTCGTGGCTGGGTCTTCCAGCATGACAATGACCCCAAACACACAGCCAGGGCAACTAAGGAGTGGCTCCGTAAGAAGCATTTCAAGGTCCTGGAGTGGCCTAGCCAGTCTCCAGACCTGAACCCAATAGAAAATCTATGGAGGGAGCTGAAACTCCGTGTTGCCCAGCGACAGCCCCAAAACCTGAAAGATCTGGAGAACACCTGTATGGAGGAGTGGGCCAAAATCCCTGCTGCAGTGTGTGCAAACCTGGTCAAGAACTACAGGAAACGTCTGACCTCTGTAATTGTAAACAAAGGTTTCTGTACCAAATATTAAGTTCTATTTTTCTATTGTATCAAATACTTATTTCATGCAATAAAATGGAAATTAATTATTTAAAAATCATACAATGTGATTTTCTGGATTTATTTATTTTTGATTCTGTCTCTCACAGTTGAGGTGTACCTACGATGAAAATTACAGATCTCTCCATTCTTTGTAAGTGGGAAATACTTATTTGCCCCACTGTAATTCAGGAACTACATAAATGAACTAAAACTAAAATTTTCATCACAAGCTTGTGTGGTTAGTCTGGCTTTATATTTGTTGTCCAATTCTGGGATGTGCCTGGTAAGTGCTGTTGAATGCCCCTCTCTGCTGTTTGGAAGACTTGTAGGACAACTCTTGACACCCGAGTGCTGATAAACACGCACTAAAGTGAATCTTCTTCATACCTGTTCTACCTACGAAGCCAGCTATGTAACCAACCACGGCCTCTTTGAACATGGACAGACTGGGAAGACTTGGGATGTATGTTTCTGTGTTCTCTTCTGTTTCAGGTTGTGTCGCTTTGCCGAAATGTTAACATATCAGAAGATGTAGCCTCCAGTAGCACTGTGCTTTCCAGTGGAAAGCAGTTTCCACTGGTTTTGAAGCCATGTCTTGCTGACTTGAACTGCCTTGCTGTGGGATTGTTGTTATTAAGACAAGTTGGTCTTGGGTAAATTTGTAGGTCAGCAAGTACCATAAATGTGATGTTGGTGGTCCCACATATGTGTCATAATTGTTTGAAAATCTTTATTGCCACCAGGATGCCGAGAAAGGCAGTTTTCTTGCCTGTTACCACAAGGGGTCGTCCATTAATACCTGGCTCCTTCAATCCACTGATGTAATTGTAAGCTTCCATTAAGAAGGCCATGTTAATTCTCTCATTAGCTTGGCTGAATGGACTTTTAAATCCCCTGGCGATGGGATTTCACAATAATGCCACAGGACAACAAAGTGTTGAGTGCCAGCTTCAGCATATGGCAGACATCCAAGATGACATGAACCCTTGGATGGCTCTGTGATGGATCTTGGAAACTGGGGTTGAGTGCTGTGGGTTGCAAGTCTGCCCCAAGGTCCTTGAGAATAGAAAAATGCATTGATGGACCATCACACATGAGAGACACCACCCTCACACCCACATCAGACCATTTAAGAATGCATTGGTGCGCCAAAGTAGCCCTCTCTGAAACAGTCATTCCGTCAATTTGGAAATATGTCACGTGAGCTTTCCAGTGGTTGTGAATACAGCCAGCTATCAATACCAGTACCTCTGTTGCTACTGGTATGTTTTCACTTTTGATTTTTGTGATGACGTCTACATAGCCAAGCATTCTCTTCCCGTCCCACTTGGTGTGCTTCATAATGGCCATTTCATCAATCATTAGAGAACAGAGAGTCTCCAGTCCCTAGGCTAGTGCTTCAGAAGCTTTAAGGAATGTGATTTTCTGGATAATTTTTTTTTGATTCTGTCTCTCACAGTTGAGGTGTACCTACGATGAAAATTACAGATCTCTCCATTCTTTGTAAGTGGGAAAACTTGAAAAATCGGCAGTGTATCAAATACTTATTTGCCCCACTGTATATGTAAACTAGATCTGTCTGTCCATATCACACACACACACTCACACACACTACTGTTCAAAAGTTTTTTTTTTTTTTACTTTTTTGAAAGAAGTCTCTTATGCTCACCAAGTCTGTATGTATTTGATCAAAAATAAAATAAAAACAGTAATATTGTGAAATATCAATGTAATTTAAAATAACTGTTTTCTATTTGAATATATTTTAAAATGTATTTAATTACAGTGATGGCAAAGCTGAATTTTATGCAGCCATTACTCATTCTAATTCTGATTTTGTGCTCAAGAACCATTTCTTATATTTGAAAACAGATTTGCTACTTAATATTTTTGTGGATTTTTTTTTTCTTTTTTGATGAACAAAGTTTATTTGAACAGAATTTAATTGAAATAAAAATCTTTTGTAATAAAGATATATATATATATATATTTATTTATTTATTTATTGTCTGTTTTAATCAATTTAATACATCTTTATTGAATAGAAGTATTCATTTGTTCCAAAAAATGACTGACCGCAATCATTTGAACTGTAATGTGTGTATTTCTAAAATAAACTTTGTTCATTCACAGGTTTAAATTAGATTTAAATTAAATTAGATTTAATTAGAGGTCAACCTGTATGTCAAGTATTTCTGAATAATTTGCATAAACCTAAAGCTATTTTCATAGGTGTTTTCTTCTCTTTAATTTGCAAACAATTGTAACTGTGAGAGAGAAGGTTCATGAGGGAGATGTGTGTTCACTCTCTCCCTGTGATTGAAGATTCAGGGGTGTTGGTTATGAATACAGTTTGCTGAAGTTGTAGTTGGTATGCCGTTTGTATGACTCCCACACAGCAGTGAGAGAGCATAGATGGAGATGGATAGTAAGGAAGATCCCAGTGGAGGCTCTAGCAGTCTGGAGGATCTGCAATCTGGCACGGGGTGAGAATGCGAGTGCCCCGTTCCACCCTCACTCCCACTGCTGCAGCGATCAACACAGACACCTCATCACCATCAACATAACTCACTAAATTTCGCTTCACGAAAAGATTCGGTTCCTGCATTGCCAAGAAAGGACAAAACAGTTCTGAATTTCTAAATCAATCTTTTCACATCCATATAAATGTGACGGTAAGCTGAATTGGAACTGCCAAATAGCTCATTAATTTATATTTGCAAAGTACAGCTCATGAAAAGACTAAAAATTTAATAAAGCAGCCCAAATAAAAAGCCAACAGGGTTAAAGTAATAGTTCACCTAAAAATGAAAATGTGCTTATAATTTACAGAACAGATTTGCAGAAATTTCACTTTACATCACTTATACACCAATAGATCCTCTGCAGTGAATGGGTGCCATCAGAAAGAGAGTCCAAACAGTTGATAAAAACATTAAAATTATCCACAAGTAATCCACACAACTCTAGTTTATCAATTAACATCTTGTGAAGTAAAAAGCTGTATGTTTGTAATAAACAAATACATCAATACATTTTTAATTTCAAAACCATTGCTGTTGGTTAAAATATAACCATAATAAAGCAATAAGCCCCAAGCTTCGCTTCGTGCCTAAAAACGCCCCTTAGCTGTTATAATATTGCTTTTTATATTGAAAAACTTGATGCGAGATGACAACAGGGGATGGGCTTTTTCAGAGAAGGGAAACTTTTTATGGATTCTGGACTGGTATTTTGGCCAGAAGCAACGTTTTAAAGTTAAAACTACTTAATGATGGATTTGTTTCTTTCAAACACAGCTTTTTGCTTTACAAGACAGTAACTGATGGACTGGAGTCGTGTGCATTATTTATGGATTATTGTGATGTTTTTATCAGCTGTTTTGACTTTCATTCTGACGGCACCCATTTACTGCAGAGGATCCACTGGAGAGCAAATGATAATGCAAAATTTCTCCAAATCGGTTCCAATGAAGAAACGAACTCATCAACATCTTGGATAACCTGAGGGTGAGTAAATTTTCAGAGAATTTTTATTTTTAGGGTGAACTGTTCCTTTAAGAGTGCATCCTCTGTGCTTTATTCACATTTCTCTCAGAAGGGATGCGACAAACACTGTAAAATATTCGACTGCTCAGATGTGGACTCACTATTCGGATTCAATTAAGAGCACTGTGATAAGGTCTGGCTTCCTGCTGCTCTAATCTGAACGTCAGCAGAGCAGAACTTCTGCTGTCATGCTGAGTGCTTTTCAAGCCTGGAGTGCAGTCAGGTTCTGCTCCCCACCTTCATCCACCACTAACTGTCACAGTCTTTTTCCTCCACCGCGTGTCAGCCCAGCCCCATCCATCAAAAACTCAGTCTGGTTAGTGTGTTCCATCCCAGTGGACGTCCCACCGTGAGGTGCCACGCTCGGCTGTCACTTACAGCAGGACTCTGGCACAACTGCGTTCCTGGATCCCAGATCGCTAATGTGCTCCTGCTTACAGTTCAGAGCAAGATCTTATGCTGTTTGTCTGCAGTTTCTTGCACTGTGAAAAGTGTTTATATGTATGGATTGAGGTGAATGTAAAGTTGTAGCACAGAATTTCAATGCAAAAACCTGCATCTTAAAAAAACTATTTAATATACAGTACACTACAATTCAAAAGTTTGGGGTAATGCTTTTTATACTTTTGAAGTAAGCGTCTTATGTTCACCAAGGTTGCATTTATTTGGTCAAAAACAGTAAAACAGTAATATTGTGAAATATCATTACAACTTAAAATAACTGTTTTCTTTTTTAATATACTTCAAGATAATTAACTCCTGTGTTGTCAAAGCTGAATTTTCAGCTTTTTTGTCATTTCTCCAGTCTTCAGTGTCAAATGATCCTTCAGAAATCATTTGAATGTGCTGATTTGATACTCAAGAAACATTGATTATTACTATTATTGTTGTTGTTATTATTATTATTAATAATAATTTTCTTTAATTTATGAATATGCTGTGACAAAATATTGATGAAACTAAAAGGATATATTTATAAAAGAACAATAACTATCACTACCAAAAAAAAAAAATGTCAATGTCAAACAAGGTTAGCTAAAATGAACATCTAATCCGCCATCAGGGTGCCAATGAAGAAAGGAACCGTGTTTTGTTCCCCTTGTGTCAGGGTCGAGGTAATTTAAGAATAAAAGTTGCTAAACAGGAAGTGCACACACAAAAGTGCAACAATGTACTACTCTATGTTAGAAGGGCAACGCCTTCCTGTACCAACTCAAACAGCAGAGTCACTTCTGGTTTTGTTCTAAAAGAGGAAACGTGCTGGTACATAGCTTTTTTACGCTGTGAATGATGTTACAGATTTTATATCTGAAAAGGTCTTCTAACTTTACAGCTCTGACTTAAACAGCCCAGAATCATCCCATCGCCTAGCAACCAGGTGCCCTTTTGCCGTGTTCCCGCTGTTAAAGAGAGAAATACACGGTCGAACTGGCTGAGGGCAAAGGAGAGTGGCAGAAACCTGCTCTGACCATCAAAAGACCAGACAGTCCCCTCCAGTGTATGGAGGTGGGACGTGGTTACATACACAGCAGTGCATGTTGATTTGTGTTGCAGATCTGCTTGCATCACGCTGGCTGGCAGTGGAAGGAATGACATCATCCCTCTGAAGGCAGGGGAGGTGAAGCATTAGAATGCAGTGCAGAGCTGCTGAGCCTCTGTCAATAGTGTCAACTAAGCACATGCCCTTCCAGCTCTTGACCAGAAGCCTTTGTGTGGACATTAGAGACCGCAGATTCAACCCACTTACCTCAACCCACACAACTATTATCCTACGAATACTAATCATGCAAAGTGGAAGCTACTGATTTGAAATAGGGCTGTCAATGTCAGTGTTGCTATTGTTAACTAAAAATGAACTATTAAAAATCATTTTCATTTGATTTCATTTATTGAAATAAAACTGAAATAAAGTAATATATACATATTAGATGAAAAACTAAAATTAGAAATGTTGCCTTGGCAACTTAAGTCGAAGTAGTAAAATTACTAAAACTAAACTGAAATAAAAATCAATTAAAGCTCTATAGAAATATTTCTAAAAACACCAAAAACAAAGAAATCACATAAATTTACTAAACCGTAACTAAAATTAAAACGAAAACTGAAAAGGCTAAATTTTAAAATATTAATAAATGCTAAATGGTATAAGTAATACCAAAATAAATAACACTGGTCAGTGTAGTATTACTTTAGTACAATTAATAATGTAAAAATATTGTGTGCAACATAATAAAATAATGTATTCAAATAAAAGAAATAAAACAATCCCATTCAAGGGACCGTCACAGTCAGTATCTGTATTTCTGATAAATCTGAATAATTAAGTCAATGATATTTTTAATTGATCGACAGCCCTCATTTTTAAGTGAACTGGATTATGTGTGAATTATAAATCACTTGTTGGATAATTGTTCTCATGAGACTCACCTGTCAGGTCCATGGTGATGGGTCCAGGGGCCTGGTCACACATCAGAGTGAGTCTGGTCACTTGAACATTAGGAATGCTGGGATCTACAATGCAATGAATAAAACAGATGAGAAACAGAAAAAATGTCACCTCTACATTTATTATTAAACTATACTTAAACTAGCTGCACTGGGATAAACCCACTTATTCATCAGAGTAGCCTTGTTTCTTTTGTGAAAAAAAAAAAATTGACATCATGTTGATTTCAACAGTATGACTGGGAGTGTTTACTGGGAGTAATATTGTCAGCACGCAGTGCAGCTGCATCTCTTTTAGACCAATGTGATTTTCTGGTTAAATAACAGTTGTATTTGGTTGTTAAGGTGTTCTGAGTGGTTTTAGCACAGTGCTATATAATGCTAGGTTGTTTCTAGGTGGCTGCTTACTGGCAAAAGCCAAAAGAGCCCACTTTAAAACTGAAAGATATTCTGAGACATGACTAAGAATTCTCCTTCATTTTAAGTCTGCATTACTTTCTTGCCCATTTTATTGTTCGCCAGGTAAAAACTGTAAGTCTGATCACTTCGAAAAGTAATAGCGCACATCTTCTGCACAATTTGAGTTATCATTCTTGTCAGTAGCACTGCAAGTCTGGCTGAGGAAAACACCAGAATCTGCCCATTCTTGCGTATCCTGTCTATCCAGCATTACTGGCCCAGTCAATCCTCCAAGCCAATTCATCCATGCATCCAGCATGTGTCTCAGACTAGACTAAATTGAGTGAAAATGGGAAGGGGGAAACAGGGCCTTCATGTGCACCTGAAACAAACTGACCAGTCAGTGTGTAAATAATACACTTTAATCATCTCAGGTATGTGCACATGAACATCATCAATTCAGGTTTGTGAAAAGGCGGCTCTTTCCAGCCATACAATTCACACTCATTTCCTTTGTTTTATCTGTCGTCTATATGAAAAGCTGTGTAAGACATTTCTGGGAGGCAATTATAACAGAAATACTTTGATGACAGACTTTGCTCGTGCATTTCCGAATGACCATAACAACATTTCAGATGCTGTGGAATGAGATCGGTCCGCTGTTTAGTCAGGTTTTGCCGTCACATAGCGCAAAGTCACATGACTTTTTTGATGCGCTTGGAGGAATTTATTTGCAAAATGCATTTCCATCTCCCATTATTTGCATCAACCCTTTTTCGCACAAGTCAAAAACCACCTCAAGCGAGCGTAAAAACATTTTTGCGAATTAAGGGATTTTCATTTGAAATTCGGCATTTCCATCACTCGCTTCTCATGCGATACTTCAAAATGCGCATTAAAATAGGGTGATGGAAACATAGCTATAGTCTTATAAAAAAAAATACATACAAATATTAGATAAAACTGATTTAAATTGAGTTTGACATTAGCATGTTCCTAAGCTAACAGAAAGATACTCAAAATGGGTCAAATTGATTTCAACAGTATGACGTTAGCATGTTGCTAAGCTAATGGAACAATTCTCTAATTACTCATGAAAATACATGTAAAAAATACACACAAATATTGGGTAACTCGGATTTCAATAGAGATTGACATTAGCATGTTGCTAAGCTAATGAGACAACACTGATTACTCATAAAAATATACACAAATATTGGGTCAAATTGATTTCAACAGTTAAACATTAGCATATTGCTAAGCTAACGAGATGATACTCTAATAATAAAACTATACAGCAAAAATATTGTTTAAATGAACCATCCAACAATTTTTATCAATACTTTTAGGAAGAGAACAAAATATTTATGCAGTAGCTATTTTTATAGTCATTATTTATCCGTCATCTTGGATCAAATTTTTCACTGAACCTGCTGCAATATATTCCGTAGTTGCCTTTTCTGCAATGTTGCCTTAAAATTTGGGGAAAAAAATGTATCTTGAAAGGCAGCACAATTCCGTTGCCTATTTTTACAACAGCCTTTGAGTCAGGAACGTGCCATCACTTCTTTAAAATTCAGCTCACTAGGTTATGGAACAGAGCTACAGTGTCTTTCACAAACATAATCATCTTCATTATGAGATAAGGAGGCATTTAAAGTCTTATCAGTCAGTGTTGCTAATGAACTGCCATGCATTCCCTCCTTAGTTACTTGTGTCTATAGGAGTGCCGCCCATTACAGAAATAGATCGGGCCTGTCAGGGTTTAGGTGGACACAGAGCCACCAGTCTTAACATACAGGTTTGGAATGACATGAGGGTGAGTAAATCAAACTAAATCAAACGTTCTAAGACCCTGTGAGTCAAGAGGAAATTAATCTGCCTTTTATGCCTTTAGCAATACTGTATCAGCAAGTATTTCCAGTTCACACTTAAAGGATTTATAGTGCATATTTGGATTTTCCCTGTGGTAAAAGAAATTAGAAATGCTGGGCTTTGATCATAATAGCACATAAACAATTCTTCATGATGGGAAACAGAAAAGAAACAAAGCTATTTCACTCCTTAACTGAGCGAGAAATACAATAACTGATCTTATAATTAATACATTGTACAGCAGGACAGAATATCAAACGCAAATTATCCGGCGTTACACAGTGAGTGGAATCATAATTCATGTTTTTCTAAACAACAAAGCAGTTCAAAGCCATGCTCTTCAGACTAAGTGGTAGCCACCTTCTCATTTATTCTCTGAGTTAAGAGGATATTGTTTGGGGACTTTGAACCAAGACTGGAGTCCCCCAGGGGAACTGAATCAGTCAAGACAGCAAGAGGAAAAGAGAGAGCTGTCCCTGGAGAGCCGAGCTATAGCTTTAACTATGAAGACAATGCAATCTTCAGAAGATGAGATTTTTTGTAACATTCATTATTTGTGTGCATCTATAAATATGGGTTTTATACGGTGGCCGAGAGAGCTCAGCGAGCTGCAAATGAAAAAACACCTGCAAATTAAGAAAACATCATCAATTTGACAACACATGCGCTGCAAATTCTCACAACACAGCCAAATACAGAAACGCGCTGCAAATTCTCACAACACAAACAAAGAAACATGCTGCAAATACAAAACAAACAAACAAAAACAGAAACGCGCTGCAAATATGCAGACCACATCGGAAATGTTTTAGGGAAGCGCGTTTCTTTGTTTGTGTTGTGAAAATTTGTGTTGTCAAATTGATGAAGATGTTTTCTTAATTTGCAGGTGTTTTTTTTCTATTTGCATGTGTTTTTTTCATTTGTAGCGCGTTGAGCCACCGTAGTTGTATTTTATAAACAGTGATCTCTAGCTTCAGCAACTGTCGTATGTGCATTCATTCCGGGCGGATGACGTAGGCGTAGCGCATGCGCCGGTGAGAAGTGACGAACGCGGAAGCAGAGAGGAGAGAACAAAACAAAACACTGGTCATGAATTAGAAGTACAAAACTTGGATTTGTAAAGAAAAATGTCGGAGGATTTCGATATAAGCCAAGAGGACACTGGTTTTCCTTTGCTAAAGTAAGAAAACTTTGTTTTCTTTGCTCCTGTAAACAAACGTTGGTTTTCACAGGCGCTTATGCCATGCCTACGTCATCCCGGAACGGCTTCCGTGTACGACACGAACCACAGAAAAGTAGTTCTAATGTTTAACGGCTAATTATCATTTTTGGGTGAACTACCCCTTTAATATTTTTGTGGAAACCATCATAAATTTTTTCCAGTATTGCTATATAGATAACTAAAACAACATTTATGTGATAAAACTAACATTAAAACTAACTAACATTACAAATGTCTTTACTGTCACTTTTGATCAATTTAATGCATCCTTATTGAATAAAAGTATTAATTTCTTTTTAAAAAATCTTACTGACCCCAAACTTTTGAACTGTAGTGTATAAATTATATTTTTTAATGAATAGTGTGCACATACAGTAAGTGTGTTTCAAAAATATTTCCCTGGTTTTTAGTAAAGGTATACTAACCTGCCACCACAGGTCCAGAACCCAGGAGGGTTTGCTTGTACTTGTTCAGGCTTTCATCATCCTTGTCCAGTTCCTGGATCTCCTGCAGGCTCTTCTGAGCCGGAGGCTGGTAGTTCAGATCTGGCTCATCTTCATCCTCAACCACTGGCACATCTTTATCTTTATCAGCCATTATGCCTGAGAAAAAATGGGGATGAGGGGTGTTAAAAAGGAAAATAATCTTCATCTATTCCTTCTCAATATGTTTAAAAGAACATTCATATGCATCTTCACATACAGATCAAGCTTATCACAATTTCACAACATACCTGGATGAAACAACATTCTTATTTACCAATCAGATTCCAGACTGAGGGCTGTGGCTGTGACTTGAACATTTTTATAATTGATCATTTCCATCTGAATTTAGATGTAGTTCATGGTTCCTGTTTCTGTTTCTGTTCTTGACTTGCTTTAAAATTGACTAAAATATTGAATTTTGCCTTTATTACTTTATAGATTTTGGACCACATTTCTAGACTGGTTTTGAAAAGGACTTCAGCAGGCTAGTCACGATCAAGTTTGAAGAGTCTGTTAAGAGCAAAAAATGGACAGATATGGAACTATTAGTGTAAAACTCTAGTGTGAAATCTATGTCCTGTTAAACTATATGGCTTGTGATGTTCTATGTGGTTCTACAGATGGGTAACGCTCTGATACAAGACAGATTGAATGTATTTTCTGTTATGTCTCCACCTCTCACACATTGTTTAGGTTTGAAACTCAAACTAATTCAGATTTGCTAATACAGTTTGAGACAATAGATTTGCAAATTTATCTCTTTTAATATTCAGAATTATTTGTTCTAATCCTCCCTTAGCAGAGCAATACAATTTTCTATTCAGTTCATTTGAGAGATGGCTCCTAGCTAAATGCCCAGTCTGACAATATATAAGAGCAACTGAACGTAGCTGTCCCTGTTTAATTATAATGAGCCAGTCTGGTTTTAGCAGATCTCTTTAAAGAAATCATTGTTTTTATTAATTCACCCACATGTCAGACATAGAAAAATGTGTTTTTTATTGTCACAACCAACACACCGCGTTTCAGCGTAACAGCTAATAATTACCGGAGAAAATCGCAACTCGGCGAGCAGACAGCTGAGGTATTACTCCTCAGAGAAAAAGAGGAAAATAAAGACCCAGAAAACTGCTCTCCATGCAGAAGGCCAAGAACAGGGACAACAATTTGTCATAGAGAAGCAGTCTTGTGTAAGTGTTGCACAGAAATATAGGGTACAAAATGGGGCGTAAAACTCTTAACCTTCAGATATTATGAACTGCCAACCTCAGGAGGTCAAACTCAATATTATATGAGCGGTTTTATTTTCTATATAATTTCTGAGTTGTGCAGTTTTTGCAACCCTGTCAGACAAAGCCCGACATGCTTAAATACAGTTTTACTTCTGGATTTGGGCAATTTTGTAATTTTCTATCAACAAACGTTGACTAACAAATACTAAATCTATCAATCAATAAAATAGGACAATAATATTGTTGGTAATTAAACATTTAAAAAAATGTTTTTTTACTAAAATGTATTGAATCTCAATTCAACAGAATATTTCACGATTATGATTTTAAGTAATGGATACAGTTGGGAAAAATCACCATTTTAAAGGGTTAGTTCACCCAAAAATGAAAATTGGCTTGTGTTTTACTCACCCTCGAAGCATCCTAGGTGTATATGACTTTCTCCTTTCAGACGAATCCAGTCGGAGTTATATTAAAAATTGTCCTGGCTATTCCAAGCTCTGTCATTGCAGTCAGCGGGTGATGCAGTTGAACAGTCCACAAGTCGTCAAATAGTCCACAAGCGCGCCTCTGAGATATGCTAGTCTCGTGAGTTTGTTTATAGGAGCAAAGGAAGCAAATTTCCTTACTTTAGCAAAGGAAAACCAGTCTCCTCTTGGCTTATATCGAAGTCCTCCGACATTTTTCTTTGCAAATCTTCGGTTAGTACTTCTAATTCGTGACCGGTGTTTTGTTTTGTTGTCAATCTTATCACGCAACGCCGACGTACTAGGTCATCCGGCGGAACGGCTTCCACGTATGACAGTTGGCGGAAGTGATATAAAAGTGTTTATCACGTTTGAAATATGGATATTTTTCTTACAAAACCTAGGATGCTTCGAGGGTGAGTAAAACACAAGCCAATTTTCATTTTTGGATGAACCCTTTAAGGTGGGTACAGATATTTAATGGGATTTATAACTAGCTAGTTTTCACCCTAGATTAATTTTACGTTAGATAATAATTTTTCGAGAATATCTTATAGTTCTCACAACAAAAAATAAGGGATATGTGCCTCTAATACTTTAAAAAACAGTCACTGGACCCCAACGTTTACCAAATTCATGGGAAGGGACAACTTCTAAAACATGACATCATCGCTTTCATTAGCCTGGGTGAGAACAAGTGAAGCTCCTTAGAGGATGGATGTTCCTGAACACAGCTGAGGATGAAAAAAAGAAAAAAAGACAGAAACACCCCCACCCAGGTTTATATGTTTGCCCCGGCTGGTTTTATGAACAGTGTGTCGACACTGTCTATAGGCCAGATCTGCCTCGGCAGCCGTGGAAACATGCGTACATCCTGCTTCCCAACGATTATCAAGAGCGATGATGAACCTTCTTTACATTATGAAAGGAGAACAAAAACCCTAAGTGCTGTAATGTGAAGGCAAATGCAATAATGGAAGGATGGGGCTATAAAATCTGATCTGATGGAATCAATAGGGTGTTTTTGAGGGTCACTCTCTAATAAGCCATTAGTTTTATAAGAGCGATTTTCACTCATACCATCTAATAAATATATACCACCATCTCCTTTTGCATTATATAGCAGTAGCTCAAGGACCATGACACCCATATGCTACTGCTGTATATAAAAATGGGGAGCCAATTTCCTCCAACAAAAAGATAGGAAAAAATGGGGGAATTAATTCTGTATCTCTACATAAACTGAACCTGCAAAAAAAAAAAACACTATCCAGGAAGACAATTTGAGGAAGGACAAGGTCAGATTATGGTTTATGAGGAAGCTGCACACAGGTGCAAAATGCTGTTGAGACGTATGGCATACTCCAGCTGCAGAAGACAAAGTGATCCAATTAACCTACTAATTAGTGAGAAATAAACAAACAATCTGAATGTGTACAGATGAACGTGGTAATGAAGTGTGAGAGGGGAAATCTGGCTATGCATAAATGTGTATTAATCAATAGTCAACTCTTGTGCAAAATGGAAACCCCTGAACTGACTGCTGCATTAACATTGCAATATTTTACTCAAGTGTGGCCATGTTTTGTACACTGGAGTCCTTTGGACCAATATCCTGTGCATAATAAGGCTATTTAGTTAATTATCCCTGTGCAATTATAGCTTAAATATTGCTAAAAAAAAAAAGCACACCAATTAAATATCTCACACACCAAACACACAAATCAAATCCCCTGAGCTGAGATTCACTACAGGGAGGCCTGGTCACCATGAATAAATGACTGGACTAATTGGGCAATTTAAAGCATATCCAAGAGCCAATGCCAAGATTCTCTCTCTAAATTACAAGCAAAATGAACTATGTAGTGAGGGATAGCAGTTAAGGATGATTATAGATACATTTTCATGGCATTTCAGGGCATGTTTTCTGCATAATGATGATGGCATCTCAAAACTGCAATGTGAGACATATTAATATTGCACATTAAAGCAGTAAACATCAAAGTTCTCCTCTGAATGTACACAAGCTAACAGCTAATCAGTTGCAGTTGTTCATAATGTGACTCAAAGAGAAAAAAATAATAAAGGCCATCTCCTAAAAACCTTTACATTTGTGGTTCTCAACTGGTTTTGCTTCAGGACCCAGATTGTATGGTGCCAAAGTTGTTTAATGTACAAACATGAACAAAAATGTCCTTAAAATCAGACATGGAAATGAATTAATATTACAAATTTTACCACACAGGATTGACAATATGCAAAATTATTGACATGATTATACAGAAAATTTATGATAAACACATTTTTATGGTTTCATGCTCTCAGTATCTTGTCCACGATCCTATCAGAACACACCAGCAGCAATTTTTTTATCGCAGCCCACCAATTGAGAAGCACTGCTCTAAAGAACACTAGAGCCTCGCTCCCATTCTCACAGTGGCCACTAGTAAGAGGTCATTTTTATTATCAAAGAGAAGAATGACAGTAATTACCCTTGCTCGGCTGTGTTAAATAGCAATGATAATACTTTGAAGAATCTGACTAGCTTTTTTAATTGGCTTTCCCCACCCTCCAGAGATATCATTTCTGAGTGAAATATGTGAGGTGCAGCATCTCGAGCTTCAAAGGCAACATGCTTTGTTTTTTTTTTGGCAAAATGCCTGGCTACATTGTGATGGATAACATGCTGGTTTTTGTCTGATGGTGTGCTGCAGGTTTCAATGCACAGCTAATGAGGTGGAGTATGAATGAGCAAACAGCGCTGACAAACTGCAGTCTCTCATACTCAACACACAACTGCTGTACACCCAAATATTCGGTGGAATTTCAGCAGATGAATGGAAGGCCCACTAAAGACCACACAAACCTTACCCTTTTTAGACTAAAATGAATATGTGACCCTAGACCACAAAACCAGTCATAAGGGTCAATTTTTCGAAATTGAGATTTATACATCATCTGAAAGCTCAATAAATAAGCTTTCCATTGATGTGTTGATGTGTTAGGATAGGACAATATTTGGCCGAGATACAACTATTTGAAAATCTGGAATCTGAGGGTGCAAAAAAATCTAAAGGGTCACATATAAGACCATTGAAAAGGCCGATAAACCCCTCAGGATGTAAAAATGTCAAAAAGGACCACAAGAACACTGACTCTGTTGTTCACTCAGTTATGTGTCAAAATACAGCGTGTCATAGTAAATATTTTGTCTGAATATCTTGCCTGAATTTATGAGCACAGTTTGCTCTAAAATGGAAGCCAACTCAGCAGCTGATGTAACTAAATTCTCCCTGTATATTAACACTTTCAACTACTCTACAACCCTCACAATCCTCCACTTTCACAACTACTCTGACACCAAGCAGCTTCTCTGCTAATCAAACTGAGAGCAAAGTGGAGAAGAACCAAACACAAACCACAGCGGGCCAGAAATCTGCACAATTCTACACTTTCACAGACAAAATGCTGCAAGCCATTTGACACTGTCACAGAAGGTTTCGGCTGTAATGTACTGAAACAATGCAACAGGAATATACTTATTCACAAGATGATGTCAAAGAAACATATGAGGAAATTAAACGAATAATGCAGGCCCAGACGAAATCTATATACTTTCTTTGTTTCTTTTTTTTGCACTGATTTTGAGGGAAAAAGAGCAGTAGTACATGTAAAAGTTGGGGGCTAGGCTAAGTGACATTCAAATCCTCAGGACTGTTAATCAGATAGCAGCTGTAATTTGAGAAACCACAGCTGAACACCTGACAGCATGTAGAGAAGCGAAATTATGCATGTGAACTTCCTTATTCATATGGCCTTTCCCTACAAGGTGCACAAACACGTCAGCTTTTTGAAATCTCGGTTTCTCCTACATGCAATCTAATTGATTTACTCCTTTAAACATGTGTCAGGTCTCTGTCGTGTAGCCATCCATCACAGTGCAGCAGCAGCTGAGGCTCAAGGAGTCGTGATGCAGCTCTGCCGGGCCACAGGGGGTCTTAGTGTCAGCACCTGCAGTCGGGCAGAGAGAGCTGAGAAACCAGTTAGTCTCTTGGACCGGTTTTGTGAGCCTTCTTTAACTCGACTGGAATCACCCTGCTTCAAACCTCTCTGGCTAATCTGGCACACAAATCCAGTTTGGTTTTCAAATCCGATCTTTAGGACTGAACCACTGTATATCCGTATACAGTGTTGTCAAAATCCAAAGTATCAATACGAAGGTGTGGTCACATTTTCCACTGATTGGCGAAATTTCAAAAGGGAAATCCAGTAATTCCAAAAGAAATCCATGCAATCAAGAGATTTGTGTGAGGGCGGAAAAAGTTCACCACACGGATTTCGCTCAAGTTCAAGTTGGTCGGGTCGGGATTTTACCATGCTGACCAACAGAAAGCTTCTTGGTTTGAAACTGACTTCTGTGCGAGCAGTGCTTAATACATCTTTACAGTATTGACTATGGATAATAGACCTTTTTTGAACACTAATTTCGCTAATGTGACCACACCTTAAGACATTCCAAAATAATAGATTTTAATCAGATTTCATATTGATTTGAAATTAATTGGATTTGTAAAATTTGGATTTGATGTGTTGTTTTGCTATTCAGACTACAAAAAGCGAACAGATCTGAGTCAGATACAGAACTAGGATCTAGGTTTTGTCAATGGTCTTGTGGCAATTCATAACTATTTTACATTTTGCTAAACTAGAATTCACTAAACTAGAATAATTCAATAAACTAGAATTCATATGAATTTGTACTCATTATACAACCTACTCATGCCCCACTAAGTTTAGGTTTAAGTATAGGTTCATACTTATTTTATTTGTTTTTTTAACTACAAATCACACATTTTCATAAGAATTACATCATACAAATTCATAAGAAATTTCAACTTCTAAAAATAATTGTTTTCTTGTGAAACTGGGTTGCAATTTATTTGGTTAGCATGGCCCTAGCCCCTATTAGATGTTGTAACTAGACCATCCGGTTGCAAAAAATTGTCTCAAATATTTCATTATATTAAAATATAATGAAAACTTGTTTTTAAGGGTGCTTTAAAGAGTTACATTTATTTTATATTTATATGTTTCCCTGTCCATAGAACGATTAGTCAGGTAACAGCTCAAAACACCAGCAAAACTGCACACCTGTGCACCACATCACATACTTCCGGGGGTCTTGCGTCATCCAAGCAACTGCCATTGAGATGAATGGGAATGCTTATGGAGAAGCCATACTGTATAGGAATCTCAGATAGCAAAAACACACAGGGATATGCACATTTACTCTTCACTGTACACATAAAGACAGGTGGTCATCTGTCACACATCATTACTAAGTTCCTAGATATATCAAAGTGAAATGGAGACACTAAGAGAGTGGAAAACGCCAATAAAGAGGTAAATTGGGGGTGAGAAACACTGGATTGGTGTCAGTCAGCAGAAGCTCTGCAGAGTGAAGCCCTGAATCAACAACATCTGTGACATGTAATTACAAGCAACATGATGATCACACACACAAAGCAATGTTGTGAGAGCAACAACCGATCGATCAATACATATTGATTATTCCACCTTTGCTTGTTTTAACTGCATCACATGCCAACAATACAAATGTCTACATCCACAGAGGAAGTCATCACACAAAATGATCACATATATGACTTTCTACTTGATTTTAAAAATGTATTTGAAATTTTCAATTGGTTTTATGATACATTGCAACTTCTAAATACCATGCATAATAAGCTTCAAACTACTATAGCTGAAGGTTTAAGGGATGGACTGTTAAATTAGCAGATCATCTGAAGTCTTTTTGTAGAGTTTGAAGAGCATTCCAAATGCACACATTCAAGTTAATTTTAGTATATTTAATCATTTATTTTGTATATAATTTCAGTTTTCAACATTTTTACCTCATAATAGATAACATAAATGCATTCTCACCTCTATAGCAAACTGTTAACCAGAGCAGTTCAAGAAACTGTCCACCAAATTCACAAACATCCAAGCCCAACATTGTGAGTAAGCTCTTTTCCACAAGGTTTCCCCCAAAAAAATTACCCCCAAAAAATTCAAGAAAGCACACGTCCTGTGGTACAGAAAAAAATGTGTCTAAAACACATTAAAAAAAGAATTCACAGCAGCATCCCTCCTACCGTCACACACAAAAAAACAAGATACAGAATCACTGGGTGTGGGTTGGCTAGAGAGAGAGAGAGAGCGCATGAGAGAGGGAAGAGAGAGATAGTAGGGAGACAGAACGTGGGAGATGGAGAAAGAAAGTAAGGGAGTGTACGAATGCACAAACGATCTGTGTGTAATCCGTGGCTGAAGTGTTGGCAATGAGGCAGTAATGTGGGAACAGTATTCCAGTCTGCAGATGCTATTGATTCCACCGCCATGAGAAGCAAACCCTCCGCCTCAGTTCAGCACGCCTCCCAACCCCATCACTCATTAGACAGGAGACTGCGATGATCTCATCCTCTTCCTCACATACATACACACACAAACACACACACGGTTCCTTTCCCCCCTCCGTTCTCTTTATTCCTTGTTCTATTTCTTCTTCACATTCCGGCTCTCCAGAGACGCTTATTATTCTTACCATCCCCCGTTTTATATCAACTATTATATTGTTTCCCCTTTTATCTCCCCCTTCTCTCTCTCTCCCTCTTTCTCTCTCTTTCCTTCAGGAGCAACATGCTGGGCAGACTGTTTTTTTCCCCTCCAGTCGAAGATGACTTTCTATCAGTTTGCAGTTCTCCAGCATGTTGCCCTGTCATCTCTCTCAGGGGTCATCAACCTGTCGGAGGTTACACTGGGCGTGCCGCTGCACTCCACGCGGCACTGAATCTCTACCATTGGTAGCGTCTTGCTGAGTTGTGCTGCAGTGCATTGCTAAACCCATTTTCAAGAGACTTGTAAGGACAGAGTTTATGTGCGCCGACCCATTACAGCATTTCACTGCATGTCTGGAGCAAAGCTACGGAACAAACAGCACATGATCTGATGTGTCAACTATAGGTAAAGAGACAATGGATTGCATCAGAGGCAGCATGAATACTTAGTATAATGAAGCAATGAGCCATGAAGGCCGTGTGCTAGTGATTTTTCCAAGTGCAAAGGATGTTCTTAGGGATGATGCTAAGTGAAACACCCTTAACTGTTGTAAAATCACTGTAACAAACAGTTTTGTGTGGGTTTATTATTATTAGTGAACTCCGAAAACAGCAATATGATAAAAGATACCAAGGTTTAAAAAGTTTGATTTAAGGCTCATTCACATCAATGATGATACCTATAACGATAACGAGAAATAAAAAGTTTTAATAATCGTTCGAATTCTTTGAGAATAAGGAAGTGTACACCACCACTATAATAATAACGAAACAGTTGGAATCACTCTCAAAACTATTTTTTCCATCTGATGAACAATAAAAACTTTGACAACCAATCAGAATCCAATTCTACCCCTTAGCCCTTCCCCTTTCCCCTACCCCTCCGTTTCGCGCGTTCACGTGAAGGGGTAGGGGTGTCTCGATTCTCTTTTGGTTGGAGGGGTAGGGGTAGGGGAAGGGCCAGACAGACCACACTTCAAACGAAGGGGTACTTCAGTACTTTGATGTTTATGTGGGGGGAGGATTACCTCTGGAAGTTTACTCTGACCATAACCCGTTAACTTTTTTGCATTCCTTACAGTCCCCAAGTCAGCGGTTAATGCGTTGGATTCTATTTTTGCAGCCTTACAGCTTGACTATAAAACACATCAAAGGAGCTGAGAATGTAGTGGCAGATGCATTATCTCGTGTACCTGACCCTTATGAATAGTGTACTGTTGTGTTGGAACGGTTTCTGTTTTTCCTTTGCTCTCTCTGCCGTCTTAAATTGCTTTCAGGATCCAGATTGCTGGGGGTATGGAGGTAGCTTGGGAAAACTGACGTGACTGTGAGAACACAATAACACAAGGATACTGAAGGTGGATTGATGCCATGGAAAAAAAAAAAAAAAGGAAAGTAGTTTTTGATTAGTTTCACTTTTGATTTTGTTTGGGGTTTTAAGGATCTTTTATTGGATGCAGGATTTTTTTTAGGGGGAGTGTGTGACGTCTTGGTGAGTTACTCTGTGTTTATTCCCAAGTCACAGGTGATTGGCTGTCTGCAGGTGATTGGATGACGTGGTGCTGCACCTGGACTAAATCAACTGGTCTTAAAAGGGACTTGCAGGAACAATGAGAGGAGAGAGGAATAGTTGTTTGTTGGCGTTGGTGCATGAGTCTGCCAGAGAACTCACGGGACGTAGAGGTTATGGGAGTTCGCCGTTGCA